GCCTTCCTACCCTCCAGCAGATCAACACTCCCGCCCAACTTGGTGTCGTCTGCAAACTTACTGAAGGTGCACTCGATCCCCTCGTCCACATCATTGATAAAGATATTAAACAGAACTGGCGCCGATACTGAGCCCTGGGGAACACCACTTGTGACCGGCCGCCAACTGGATTTTAACTCCACCACAACTCTTTGGGCCCGGCCATCCAGCCGAAGAGTACGTCCGTAAAAGCCATGAGCATCCAGTTTCTCCAGGAGAATGCTGTTGGAAATGGTGTCAAAGGCTTTACTAAAGTCCAGGTAGACAACATCCACAGCCTTTCCCTCATCCACCAAGCGGGTCACCTTGTCACAGAAGGAGATCAGGTTGGTCAAGCAGGACCTGCCTTTCATAAACCCATGCTGACTGGGCCTGATCACCTGGTTGTTCTGTACATGCCGCATGATGGCACTCAGGATGATCTGCTCCATGACCTTCCCCGGCACTGAGGTCAGGCTGACAGGCCTGTAGTTCCCCGGATCCTCCTTCCAGCCCTTCTTGTAGATGGGCGTCACATTTGCTAACCTCCAGTCAACTGAGACGTCCCTGGTGAGCCAGGACTGCTGACAGATGATGGAAAGTGGCTTGGTAAATACCTCTGGTTTAGATTTATGGGAAGAGAGCTGATAAAAACATCTGCTCAATACATGGTGTTTGTGGGGCTAAGTAAAACTTCAAGTAACTCTGCAAATATAGTTGGAAAAAACAGACAAGCTTGGGGTCCCAGTTAAGACTCATGTGCCCCAAAGCTCATTCATTTTCTCTTACTGCATCAGTTAGTCTAACAAAACATTTCACCTTGCTTCATAAACCTCCTACAGTGTCTATCACCTGACCATCACAATTACAAGGTAACAGCTGGTTAGTTTGTAGAACTACACAGGCACTTCCATATATTACAAATACAACTTGGAGATGTTAAGAAAGAGATGGCAAATCTCAAAATAATGCTATAGGTGCTTAAGTGTATTCCTGAATGGAAAGACTATTATAATCCTGGCAATATACACCTTTCAGTACTTTTGTAGAGCAAAACGCAGTCTGTAGTGCTGATGACTACTGTGTTTAAATAAACACTCTCTCTCAAGGAATATTTTCCTTTTGACGGATCCTACTGCTGAAACCCTACTGGTTCACGATAGCTTGTTGCCATGGATGGGTAATGCTGTCACACATTCTGCCCTGTGTCCATGCCAGAAAATAAATGAGAATTACTTTTTTCATGACTAGGAGTTACTTAGCAATTCCCTGGAAGGCCTGAAGTGAATCACGAGTAAGAAAACAAGATGCCCTATTGACCCTACTTGCACTGTATCTTTATGCCAGTGAAGTGATGCAGTAAAACTCCATACTAAATGCTCTGCAGATTTAAAAGCAAGGTTGTGTTACTGCAATTTACCTTGTTATCCAACAGATTTCAGTGGGCTGAAGATCAGCAGGAGGCTAGGTGAAGTGTGGCTTAGGGGCTCACACATGAACACGTGTCCCTTTGGAAACTACACAACCGTTTGTCCTTCCGAAGGTTTTGGAAGAGGGTATGCTGCTTGTGTCCTTTCCTCCGTCAGTGATGCTCTGACAGGAAAACGATCCCAAGCAGGGTACAGACATCACGGCATCAGGCAGCAATTGCCATGCTACTGCCTTCTCTCACACCACCTTTCAAATTAGGTTAGGTCTGTCCTTTTGAGATCAGCATCTGGAAGGCAAAGAAGAAGAGGAAATCTCTTGTAAGTACAGACGACAACAGAAAGGCTGTAAGAACACCAGCACTGTTACTGCTCCCCAGACCTCGGCTTCTGCTCCCTCCTCTCCTCAAGGAGAGCGGTGTTTGGAATAAGGAAGCTTCTGTCCTGCGGTGAGACCATCCCAGAGTTTCAAAGCTATCAGGATACCCCTCCCCGTAGTTCCTAACAGGTACCCCCTTCTAGGAAGGCCGCCTTTTCCCCGCGCCCCCCTCCCCACGCACACTCATCCGCAGACCCTGGCGGAGAGAGCCAGGCCAGCGGTCGGGGCTGACGGGCAGGGCGGGAAAGCGAACCGAGCGGGGCCGGGCCGGGCCAGCAGCAGGGCCCGGC